TATCATTGATTATAAATATATATATATATATATATATATATATATATATATGCATATATGTATATTGATGTCTTGTGCACATAATTTACCATAAAACACACAATATTTTTTACACAAGCATGTTTATGCGCTCTCGCTGTTTGAATCAGGGGGGATCCCGTTTGTCTACAAATCGATTGCCTACCTTACTAGAAATTCCAAGCATGTCCGTATATGATTTTGGACAGCTGATTAAATGTAGTTTCTTGTACTGGAAATCCTGTTATATCCAAAGTTCATTTGGAATTCCAGATGAGTTTCACTCATCTGTCAACTCTTGTCTGCAAATCTTGTTCTATCCGATGCATGTTTGGAATTTCAGATTCAGGATAAATTCGTTTAATATGTTATCTGTTTTCAATTGAATACGAATCATCATGCAATTGCAGATCTATCTTTTATTGGGAAATCCATAAGAAGTCGTTACTAATTTAACTACAGAAATATATTGAATATATGAATACTTACATAAACCGCATTATGTTATTTCCTGATAAAAACCAGTAAACTTTATGTCGTAAATTCCTTGCAAAATGCAATACCTAACATATTTTAGAATTGTAAACATCAGACAAAATTTTTATCTGGGAATCCAACTATATGTACCATCAGTAAAAAATTTTTTATACATGAATATGTAAAAATATGTATAAAGAATGTTCTAATCCGGCTGGCATGATGATTTTATTAATATCCATGTCAGAAAACAAGAAAGCAGCTTTAGAGTTTCAAGACGGCGTTGCTCGAGTGCCAAAAATAATCGAACTAGAGGCGAACTTCGCAGCCGGTTTGTTCCGTAGTAGACATACAGCCAATCGAGTGCCTGATATGCCATCGTAAGCTTTTGCATATGTGCTTTTTGTAGAGAGTTGAAGAGTGTAACGTTCCGTATCATAGGAACGAATAGCGCGACGACTATAAAGAAAGAGAAAACGGACGCGGCGAGTTTTGTTCATGCCGAGTGCAGGTCGATATTTCATCTTTTATTTTGTGTTGGTGTTCGTCGTATGTCTGGCTAAAGATGCTCACATGTGAGTTCTGCATTGCGTTGTAAAGAACGCAAGTCATGAATGTGCTTTAAATAGATGCATAAAAAGAAAATTAAAAAATTAGAAATATAGAATAAAAGTATTAGAAAAATTAGAAAATAAGTAATATTTACATGCAAGATTACATTTAAAAGATTTGTTTTTGATTGTCTATTTGAACAAGCTTACATATATAAAATAGAGATAGGCTAAATTAATTTGTTAATTAATTATTATATTTATCTTTATATTATTTGTGTATTATTTACGTATTTTAATTTATACTGCTTATTATTATCATATTTTTCAACTACAACTTCAATTAAATCGGTATGCTTCCCTGGATATTTAAATTACATATATTGCAATTTCTTAACTCTCACTAGCGTGGCTAGATGGGCGGAGAAATTGGGCACTGAGTTGTGGGAACTCGCGAACGAAGTGGACCGGCCCGAGGAATTGCTAGAAGTGAGTATCCGTATTTACTTAAGGTAATAAACTTCAGATACTGAGAATTCAAGAAATCTTCTCTCTACGCAAGATAACATATTTTTATTTAATTTTATTTAAAAAAAAATCGAATTATAATATTTCTTTAATATAGTTTTGCAATTATTTGTAAAAAGTAAATCTACATTTATTTTAATATTTCATTTGTAATTCGTCACAGTAAATTTATTATAGTAAGAAGAAATTCTTATTATTTTTAATGATATAAAATCCTTTATGTATAATTTTAAACATCTTTAATTTATATATTTCTAACATACTGCAAATAAAGCATAATAAAAAATATTAAATAAATAAACTTATTAAACAAGTAGTTAAATAAGTAATAATTCTTTTAGAAATACAAAAGCATGAACGTGCGAGTTGAAGATAAGTCTGGAGAAGAGTTGATCAACATAATTAGCCAAAATGTAGGTAGGATGCTGCGTCGAAAGATGGACGCAATTACCTGCATTCGAATAGCAGCCGAAGAGGCTGCGGAGAACTGGGACCCATCTCTCCTAGACGACAACTTCTCCTACGTTTCCAGCAAATGTAGTCCTGTCATCGGTCATGATTCAGCAAACAAGAACTCAACAAACAAAAATTGTGATATTCATAAGAAGAATGTGACCGTGTTCAGGTAAGCAATTTGCTCTGCTTCACTTTTTTTCTCTTCAAATTGCCATAAGAATTAATTACGGAGTTATTGTTCATACAGCACACTTTGTCCTGAGGACATCCCAAATTATCTCATATGACAAAGCAGTCCTATAGATATTCCATCCGAAACATCCAAAAAAAAAAACATCGTAAGATATCACAAAATATCCTATTAATATCTTAAAATATCTTACTATTTTCAAATCCTTCCACAACACAGTTCTCCAAATGTTCTCCTATGGATGTCTAGAATAAGCAAGGGTTTACAGTTGGAGAGTGTCAGAAATAAAAAATTAGAAGTAAAGAATATGTCATAGTTATTTTGGACGCAAACGATACTGCGTACCAATTAAATTACATCTCAAATGAAGCTTACAAAGGTTTTTATTATATTTAATGTTATACGGCTGTATTCAAAAACAATACCTGGATGCTCCTGTGTATTAGAGATCCTCTTAGTAAGGAATGAGACAACGCGCCAGATGTGCCGCTATTCGAGGATCAAAAAGAATTGCGGCGCAATGTTGTAAACTATGCTATGATCTAAAATTATATTCTATTTATTAGAAATTTGTTTATTCGTTAATTATATTCGGAAATAACGTAAATGATGTTAATAATTATTAATATTATTTATGTAAATTTCTACTATTATATAATATTCTTATCATTACATGCATTTACTTAACAGATATATTACATGTAATAAATATACGTTTACATGTCACCATTATAGAGATTATAAGGACGTAAACTTTAGGATTTTTTGTTTCAGATTCAATTAAATTTCAACAAATATTATAATAGTAGTAATATTATTATTTGTTGAATTATAATAATAATTAATTAATAATAACTACATTCAAAATAAATACATATAAATCAAGGTTTAAATATATATTATGAACGCGAGTATGGCATGGTAGACAGCGCACTGGTCTATCATGCCAGAGATTCGAGCCGGGTTCGATCCCAATAGGAACCAAAATATTTACGTTTGTGTCTCCTTTCGAAAAAGCTGGCAATCTCCCGAGAGTATTTGTAGCCACAGAAATATCCGCCTCTCGAAAAATCCACCGTTCGGAACCGGCATTAAAACTGTAAGTCCCATATGTTCGTGGCAATTGAATAATCAACCGTACGCACCACAAGCATATAAGAGATGTAGCACAGGCTCTAATGTAAGAAGAAGAAATATACTATATTCAAATTATTATAATTTCCGTTTCTACTGCTATTTTTATCGTTAGGAGCACGTTCGTATAATTGATGTTCTAAAACGTATCAAGCCAATAAACAAAATTTAGTTCAGTTTCTGAGTTAGACATCGAGTTTCGTATGAATTTGACTTCAAATAATTTCATAAATTACGAATTGTCACAAGATCAGTATTAATCTCTTTTTTTAAATATATAATACTTTTATACATTTGTTTCATAAATTTTTGGGCTCAAACGACATCATGGAATATAAAGACATACAAAAAAACTTTTCGAAGCACGGGAGTGTTTGTTGAATGGCGGCGACCAATCCGCAGCTTGCACACGCGTTGTCTCATCTCTTACTAGAGAATCCCTACTGTGTATTATTCTTGTTTAACATTGGGTGAACAGCAAAGACAAAATAATATACTCTATAAAGGCACTACACTACAGAGGCATTCGGATAATGTTTTCGAACGCAGCGTAAGAATATATAAATTACAAGATGTGACATATATTATTTCAAATTAATTTTTTATTTCATTATGTATAATAATGGAACAATAACATATTTCTCGCTTCCATAATATAATATCCTAAAACATTTCCCTTTTATTTTAGATAACAATCACATACATATACACACACGCTATACTCGTGATATCTCATGGAGTTCCTTGAACATCTCATGGATGTCGTCTAAGATGTCCGTGGATTCTCATACACGCGAACATCCCCTGAATATCCGTTGCATAACTTAGACCATTCATTGATATCACAAGATTATTACGATATTCTAAAATGACGCCCATTATACATTTCTAGGATAAAGTGTGCTGTGTAAGATTAAAAGGCAAGAATTTTTATGGATTAAAACTGAATTATGCAAATGCAACATTATTATAATAATAAAAAATCCAAAAAAATCTGGGCGAATAAGAGTTATTATAGAATGTTATTATAATAGTGAAGAAACTTATTATCATAAACGTTAGAGTCAACTAAGAAACTAACAAAGATAAATCTTTTACTAATTCTATAGAATCTTTTTTATTTTTCTGCTAAAATGTGCGTAATTAAATTAAACTGTACCATATATAAAATCAGAAATAAGATAGTCTATTGATTATTATATTACATTTTTCCTTACAACTTTTCTCGGAATAAAATCATTTACATAATTACACGATTTGTACGGTATTAATCAAATTGTAAGATAAAAGTTTTTTTTTTGCAAAAAATATTTAATTAAATCTGTAATTTAAATATAAACCCCTATTTTCTATCTCTATTATTAGGTCATCCTCAAATTTTTAGTCTTAAATATTTGTATTTAAATTATAGATTTGAATAATAATTGAACGTTTTTTGCAAAAAGAATTAATATTTTATCTTATAAATCTTCTTTTATCTTATAATTTGATTTATTCATTCAAAACCCTTTTGAATTTTATTATATTATAGAATTATAATTTTATATATACGCTGCACGATGATTTGTGAATTTAATTTTGAGTTTTATTTCTACTCAAATAACTAATATAATATTTTATACAATCTCAAATATTAATTATTTGTACAAAATTAATTTAAAACAAAATTATTATTAATAAATATAAACAATAATGTATATTGTCGAAAACAGAAAACAAATCACGTGAAATAAATCGACAAAAAAATATTACGAATTGATTCTAGAGATATGGAACTGATTTCGGACTCGCATTTCTACGACATTCCGGTAAATACGACTTACTCATCGGTTCATATACCAACCAACGTGTACGATCTCATGCAAGATGTAGCTGAAGATATCGCGAGGACTGAACCGTTGGACGATATATTTCGTCAGAATTACGAATCTGATCCGGCATTGTCGTGGCAATACTTTGGTACAGTCACTGGTGTACTCCGACAATATCCTGCTATGCAGTGGCGAACAAATCTCAAAGACACCAACGACGATGATAATATAAACGATAACACAATTGATGATAATATTAATAATAATAACAATGTTAGCAAAAATAATAACGAAGACATCGCTGATGTTAATGATAATGATGACAACGATGACGATGATTCTCCTGCTAATGTTAATAATGATGACGACAACGATGATTCTCCTGTTGATCAGTACGACGACAATGACGACGATGATAATTTTCCTGCTGATCAGGACGATGATAATTCTTCTGCTGATGAATACGACTGCAGGTTACGTAATTGGTTTATCGAGGCGGCCACATGCAGCAAGGATATGGTGATTCTAATGGACGTCAGTGGCAGCATGACGGGCTTTGGAAAGACGATTGGTATGGGAGATTAGTTTTATTGAATTGTGTGTGAAAGTGTGTAGCTAAAACTTTTATATCAATTAATCAAGTTTTATAGAAAATTTTAAAGCTTTAGATAAACAAGACGATAAAACAAAAAATTTTCAATGATAAATTAATATTTGTTATTTTTTATTGGTTTATCGCGACTGTTAATTTTATAATTGAAAAGTTGTAATATTGTTGAGAAAAGTGTATTAATCTCTTCGTCTTAATGAAACGATAATGTTATGACAGCAAAAACGACAGTGAACTCGATTCTGGACACCTTATCAAACAATGATTTCGTCACACTGCTAAAATACAATAACGAGACGACCGAATTCGTGCCATGTTTTAAGGATATGCTGATTCAAGCCACTCCAGAAAATCTCGACACATTCAAAAAATCCATGGACAAAATTGATACAGATAACGTCGCCAATCTCACGGAGGCTTTTACTAAAGCATTCAGTCTACTTAAAACTTATCGAGAGGAACGCGGTTGTGACGCCGACTCACCGTGTAATCAGCTCATCATGCTTGTTACTGACGGTGTTCCTGGAGGGACATTGGGAAATAATCTAAAGGAGGTTATATAACATAATTATTTGATTGAATAAACTTTTAATGCACTTTCTTATATTGAGATGTTGCGTGGCGACAAAATTATTAAAAATCTGCTAAGATAAAATAAAACTGAATCTGTCCTCTCAGTAAATGAGAATAATTGGAAATGAATGCAAATAAATTTCGACATTTACAAATTCGCGTTTCTAATTTTTCAAATCCATTTGAATCCATGAATACATCTGAATTCAACATGATGAATAGCTCTTTCATATTTTAATTCATTTCAATAAAAAAATAATATGATACGGACATAAATACATTCATATCCCTAACCGCACAGACTTCCATAGGACATCCTGCGAATGTTCTTTAAACATTCTAAGAACATCCCCAGAATGTACCAGATAAAGTGATATTAAGAATATATTCAACATGATGAATAGCTTATTTCGCTTTTCTATTCTCCATTTGAGTCCAAAAATACTTATTATGTTGTAGATAGTTTAGCTATGAATACATCCCAGTTTAAAATTATGAAAATGTACATTTTTATTTAAATAAAAAAAGAGTAATTGTTTAGAGTACTCCCCCTCCCTAAAATCTCCCTAGAATCCATTTATTTTCAAATTGTTTTATTTTCTATTTATTTCATGATTAGAAACAAATTTATGTTCTGAAATATCAATTTATTTCAATCCAGTTTCGGCCTCTAAACCGCAAACTTGGATAAATTAAAATAAATTGCAATTTTTTAATTCATTTCAATCCATTCTTGTTTATTGAGCCTTTACTCTTTTCTGTTCTAAAAAATTTTCTATACAAGGATGTGTAAATAGAAGTATAATTAATAACAACAATATCCAAATAATCGAAGATCATTTGCAGATATAAATATATCGATGAAATAGTTTTAAAAATAAATAATAATAATAAAAATTTTTCTGAGTAAACATTACTGTATGTTTGTGATTTCTATTTCTTTCATTTTTAGGTATTCAAAAAATGGAATTGGAATGAAAATAGTACTCATATACCGGTGCGAGTATTTACATATCTTATAGGCAAAGAAGCTACAAAAATGGATGAACTCCAGTGGATGGTAAGATCGTGTCTAAATCTTGGCGACTACAAGAAAGTAAAAACTCAGGAGGAAGTGCGCGAACAAGTACTCAAGTACATTTCAGTCGTAGCGCGTCCTTTGGTACTTCAGAGTGTGGTACATCCTATCGTATGGACACATGCTTACGCTGATATCACGGTAAGAAAAATAATAATTTTTAAAATAAAACTTTTAAAACATCCAATTTTAATCTAATATTTTCCCGTCATGCTGTAAGCAATTTGAAAAAGTTTTTTAAATGGTGATAAATTTATGAGAAGTATATTGTAAAATTATTAATATACGAGGGTCGTTTGAAAAGTTTTGAGTTCAACATAAAGTCCAGCAAACGAGAATGGATTGAAATGAATTGAAATGAATTCAGATGTTTAGAAATATTGATTCACGAATGTTAAAATGAATGCTTTTCAATCCTGAATGCATTTTTATTCATTTACAGGAATTGCATGGAGCATATATGTATCTCTATGTCTTTCAATTTAAAAATAATATTAGCTTGTTCTATGCATTGTGAATACTGTTTAATTCAAAATTTTGAATAGGAAATACAATTTTTCAATCCAATTGCATCCAATTGAATCAAATTAAATCCATTTGAATCCAGTTAAACCCCAAAAAATATTCGCTATTTAAAATACGCGCATTCGGATAGAAAAAAATTTCAATCCATTTTAATCCATTCTCATTTGCTAGGAGATGGCATTACTCGACAAAACTATTCTGGTACTACAGTCGTACGTGCTTTGAAAGATACCTATGAAAATTGTAGCTATTGTTGTTCTTTGATAGTCATTTATACCAGTCCATGTCAGTGTTTTTGTGAAAATGAAAAAAGTCAAATATTGGCGGTCACCAGTGTTGGAACAAATATCACTTAAAAGGTCTAGTTATATCTATAAGTATTGTGTGAAAAAAATATTTAGGCATAAGTACAGATACATTTTTTTATATTTACCTAAGTATAGATACCGATACAAGAAAAAAGTATCCGGAAATTTAGGTACTTTTTAGGTACTAAAAAAAAAAAGGAAGAAAAGAAAAATAAAGAATGGAGAAAATAAAAAAAGGAAAAGATATAAGTAGCGTAAAATATACTACATTTTATTTGTTTGTTTTAATACATAAAAGAATGTCTCGATGATGAAAAGTCGAAAACAACAAGCTGCGTATAGACTAATTTTATTTTATATAAATCTACTACTTACCCAGATAGCCGAATCTATAGAAAGCAGATTTTTTTTATATCTTCATCGATCGCGATTGCTTGTAAATGGTAAAGAGCTTTCTGATTCAGTTTAGTTCGCTGTAACAACTCGTGAGAAGTGATCCCGTAGGTCGGGGATACCCTGTATATAATTATATATAATTTTAAATAACTAATATGAAATTACATAATTTTATAAAACTTTTTTTCCCCAGACGGTGAAGCAAATAAAAGCACTTGTACAAGGTTAAGAATTAGAGAAGAAAGATGATTTACAATAATCAAAAATTAAGTTTCTAATATGAAATAATATGATATAAAATAAAATGTATAAGTACGTATCTAAAACTTAAAAGATACCGTACCAAAAAAGTAACTAGATATACGGATACAGGTATCTCCGCCCATAAAAATCTAGATAATACACTTAGATACAACTGACTATCTAAATACTTTTATCTAGATACGTTCCAACACTGGCGGTCGCCATGACAGAAATTTACGAATTTTTTCTATTTCCTAAGATCAAAGTTTAGTTCGGAGGACAGAGATATTCATTAAACAAAAAACACTGACATCTATTATTTACAAATCTAATACAATTGTATAATTATACAATTTTGTAACAAATGTATTATTCATTTGCTCAGTTTAAAAAAAATTTGTCTCAAAATTAAAAATATAATAATTATAATTTGTGATATGAAAAATCTAAAATTTTTAGAAGAAAAATAATTTTAAAATTGTAAATTTTAATAACATTTATATATATTAGTTTTTAAAATCAATTAAATACCATTGTAATTTGTTTGTTACTACAAATTTCGTCTTTTCATATCTTCTACTATGTCTTAATGTTTTTGTAAAAAAGCGAAAACATATACAGGTAGAATAAAATAAACATACGTAAATCCCATCAGAATCCAGCACTTGCCGCTTGGCTGTGGTGGGTGATGAAGCATGGGCAACAAAAGTCGCTGGAAAAGTATCTGAAAGGAAAACGGATGGGCGTGCAAATAAACGAGAACGCAATCTACATACAGCAGGTTTAGATAAGCAAGAAAGCACCCCCGCTGTCTGTTCCTAGGCTTTCCAAGTACTCCGTGTAGATTTATATCATGCTATATCTCTCTTAGCACAAGCTCCTGTATTTAATCTTTCGAATACCAAACGGGAGTAAAACTTGCGACGCAACTTTGTTAAAATTCTTCTTTTAGAAAAGCTATATATTTAAAAATATTTTAAATCAGTGGATAGTTTTCAATTTTGATCACTCTGTTTGGTAATTCGTGTAAGATCAAGCGAGATAATAAATAATGGTATGTTTAATTAAATAAACATTACTTTTTACTGATTTCAGAAACAGATTTGAGAATCTCTTGAATCTCGCTTAATCTTAAAGCCAAAGGCTTAAAAATACCTAGAGAAATTAATTAACGTAGTTCGTTAACGAAGTGTCGATTCGGAGAACTGGACAAACACCCACAAATATGTAGTTTAGCGCTAGACATTGAGATATGATTAATCGATGCAGCGAATGGTCTTTGGCCGATTAGTTATCATTAGCAGATTGAATACTTCAAGCTAGGTTTAGTACCCTGTTTGCTGGGCTTCATCGATTTTAGTTTAATTCATTTTTTTTTTTTTATTTCCCATTGTTAGACCAGTGTTAACTGCTGCATAAAATGTTCGGGATTGAGCGGACAATCAAAGACTTCGAGTCTTTAAAAATATCAACTGAACAATGAGATTTCTTAAATCAGATTCTGATTTAAGAATATTACACGCGACGGAAAATAATATATGCTTCTGTAATTAGTTCTCGTGTGATTTTGGTTGCACCCTTGGTTCCGAGACACCTTGGTATTGAAATGACTGAGTGCGAATTAGATAGCGTGTCCCTTCGCTTTTGTTCCAACCTATCGACATATTCATTCCTCTTAACGAAAGAAAATTGTAAAGGAGATGATATATTGCAATCGAAAAGTGTTTTTCAATCTCGCAATCGCTCTGTGTAGCTGCACAAGGATGAGAACATTGGGGAAGATTCATCCACAACCTGGCAAAAGTACAGACTGTTGACTTCCGTAAGCACACCTGTATTTGATCGTAAGAGCAATCACAGCAACATGACAGATGCGGCGAATGACACACTGTTCGGCGTGGCTGGCACAGACGTGCCGATTGATGACATCCGCGAACTTACGTTGCCATATAAACTCGGCGTGAATGGCTACGCCTTTATTGTATCCAATAACGGCTATGTGATATTGCATCCAGACCTCCGGCCAGATTACAAAGACCAGCTTAAGTTGAACTATAATAGCATCGATCTCACGGAGGTAGAGATACTTGACGACAAACGCGAGCCCAGGTATATAACATAACGTTTCAATCATTTAATATTATAGTTTTTTTTCTCCATAAATATGAATTAATTATGTAAGAAAATGAAACATTTTATATTTTAATCGTTACGTTTCTTCTATTATTATCTCTTATTTGAAGTATTCATTAATTAAAAATGAACACAGGAATCCGGGACCCGAATTATTGGAGCTGAGATCAGCGCTGGTGGATCACAAGCGAGGTAACATGATGGGGATCCCCGTGAAATTACATTATGATGACAATCGTCGAGTCAACCTTGAGAAACGTGATTATTTTTATGCGCCCCTACCTGGCACTCCATTTAGTCTTGCGGTTGTTTTATCCAATTATGGAACTACGTGGATTAAGGTATAGAACAATTTCACTAACTTTTTTAAATAATTGCATTTAAAATAATTCAATGCACAATTAATTATACTAATTAATAAATGATTATATACAGCATCAATTGTATCAAGTAATAATTATACACGCAATTGTGCTCATGATATCGAATATGTGCTCAAGTTATTGTATGTCTAATTTTTCAAGGTCGGCGATGAGATTCGCAGAAACCAGAACATGAATGTGAATGTGTCGGATTATTTTGTGGGCGATCATTGGCGTGTACATCCTAGCTGGGTATATTGTCGTTACCATTATTTGGAAGGTCATGAGTTTAATAAGCCGGAAGACGAGTTGCGTCATTTCTTAGCGCTGATGAGCCGTCCTGGTTGGCGATGGTCCGAGCAATATGAGGCTTATTCATCTATAGATGAAGATGTTGATGAAGAACCCAACTGTGGCAGACAAACGCTCAAGCACGATGACTACTATTGCAACAAAGAACTTATGCAGTTGCTTGTATTCGATGCCAAGGCGACGAACAACAGCTTCCGTGGTGACTATATGGAGAATTTATCTCCAAGGGCTCGGGATCTCGCACATCACTATGGTATCTTTATAAGATTTATCGCGACCCAAAGCGGGCTCACCAGGTGGCATCATCTTAAAACCAGTAAACTGCTGAATGTGGATGACAGTGTTGTTTTCGGTGATCTTCATAGACGAGCAGTGAATGAACCTTGGTATAAAGGCGCGATCTTTCAAAGTGAACTAGATTCAGAAAGTATTTCTTTATCTGGTAAGAGTTATATTTATTGTAAATAGGACATCGAATTTTTTTATAATTAATGTTGTGTTTGTGTATTTTTTTTTCAATCAATTGTGTGAAATCACACATCTGTATGAGCCAACACAAGACTCATACAGGTTTTTTAATGTGTAATACTCCTTATTAAATTTAGATCTAATCAACAAACTATTTGATCCATCTTTCAGATCCTCTTCAATGTAATTTTACGCATATAAAATTTTCCTGTATATTCTCCTGTAAAGTATAATACAATAATAAAAATATAAGAAAATGTAAATCTTTATCTCCTCTCTGATGACGTTATACTTTACAACGTTTTTACCGTTTTAAAGAGATCAACTTTTTGCGGATAGACAATATTATAGGAAAATTTTGTATGCATTAAGTTACATTGAAGAGGATCCGAAAGATAGAGCGAAATGTTTGTTGATTGGATCTAAATTTAATAAAAAACATACACTAAAAAACTTTGTGTCGGCTAATTGTGTAGGCATGATTTCACGATTGATTTCACGATTTAATTTAGCGCTGAGCTGAAATAATTATTAAATTTTTTTTTAATTATCTTTTATAATCATTCTGTGATTTATTTGAAATCAACATTTATATAATTATTTATTATATATGATTTATATTTGAAATGAGTAGTAGTATAATATTTGAAACAAAGTATCGTTACAGTTCCATGGGAAGCAGGCGTGGACGCGATAGTGACTGCTTCGATGAGCCTGTCGCCCAAGGATGGCGGCAAGAAAGCACCAGCGGCTGTAGTGGGTTTTCAGATGCCGATGAAAGATCTGTACAAGCGATTCATTGCATTAATCTCAGACAATCAGACGACGAATACGGTAATAAATTGCGCCCACAATTGGATTCACTGCTACCTGATAGATCAAAATGGCTACATAGTGATCTCAGACGAACATAATGACACCGGACAATTTATGGGCACTCAGGAGGGTGCTGTCATGCTATCCATGATCAAACAGGGTCTTTATAATCCGATCGACATATTCGATTATCAAGCATGGTGTCATGAAACTGTAAGTAATATATGTCAAAGAATAATATAATAATCGACAAAAATAAAAAAATATTGATTATATTAAAAGATCATATTTAAATAGATTTCACAGAGTTGAATTTTTAATTATTATCAAAATTATAAAGAATTTGCATTTGGTGAGAGAATAAAAAATAGCATGAAGAATAAATTGTTCCCAAAACTTTTTTATAATTATTCTTTTTTATTTAAAAAAAGAGGGTGCTTTTTTACGGAGCTGCAAATTGTTCCAGCGAATCGATAACTCTGCCAACAGCTTAATGGAACCGTTGCAACATATTGCAAGATTGTTGCTCTGGTTTCTGCTGAGGTTGATATGGTACGCGACCCAGTTTGTAAACTTACCCGGAATTCATGGCAAAGTCCACTTCGATGAAGATGCACCAGATCCGCCGCCACCACCAAAACCCTATTTTTATTACTATTCCTGTGATCAAAAGCGAACTCTCTATATGTTGAACGAGACCGTTGCTGCTAAAGGTGTCACCAATCACTCCGATTACTGTTCGCGGCCTTTTTACGCTCAGAGAGTAAATATTTTTTATTTTACTTAAGATGGAGAGAATAAGAAATAATTTTATACATACTAAAAAAAATATTACAAACATATTTTTATCTATTTAAAACTTATTTTATTGTATTTGTATTGTTTGCAATTACTAACATTTTACTTTAATTCTGATAAGTGCGGCTCTAAGCAGTTTTTAATAAATGTAGAGACTTAGCATGTGTAAAACTGTAATTATCATACAAACATATCATACTTTTTAAGACAATCTTAAAACAATCATAACTAATAATCATAATTAATTAAATTATTTACAAAGAAGTACGCGTGAATAATTAAAAACAAAATTACTTGTGCATATTATTGTACTATCAATAATTTCACAATTTGATAGTATAATTGTACAATTTACATATTTACGATGCATCAGAATAATGCATTTAAAGTAAGATTGATTGGATCAGCATGTTAATTGTCAACGAACGTTGACGAAAGAAGAAATAATGAATGTATCGAAATTTTTAATATTAGAATCCAAATTACGGATTTATGAGAAATTATTTCTTGATTTATTGATGATATTTTTGATACGCTCTTTAGAGATGATTGATATGCTCTTTATACTTTTCTATGTTTCTTTATTTTTCAGTTTATGAAATGATGAGACGTTATTAACATTTTTATGCTGTTAAATTAATTGATAACAATTTTATATAAAAAATATTATATTACATAAATTATGTGCGTATATAATGCAGCAATCGAATAGTTTAAAAAAAATAATCGTCTGTAATAATTTACAGGTTGCACATACTAATCTGTTGCTAGTTGTGGTGGACAGCATGTACCCAACGTGCTTGGACATAACATTAGAAGTTACATCTGTCAACATTTTACCCTTCGAGTACACAAATAGCACGGGCGAGAAACCCTGTCACAAGATTCCATTGAACACTCTAAAAAGACGCAGGCTGAAGAATTGCTTTACAGAACATCCTCTGGAGCATGTGACTTACGGCTGCGGAGCATCTGAACTGATGGTGTCTTTCTCACTATTATATATCATTGTTGTTAGGATTCTGTATATTTTCATGTGACGGCAAATTAACCGTCCTTAGTATATCGTAACTGTGTTGTTTTACTGAAAATAATAAGATAAAAAATAAATAAAATAAAACACAAGAAGTATAAATATTTCTTCCCCAAATCATAACTTTATAAATTATTTAATAAAAAATGGCTATATATTGTATATAACTTTTTCATGTAAAATATTAAATAGTGCTCTTTTAAAATAAGTAGATATTTCAATTTTGAAATATCTACTTTTGAATATATTTTAGCGAGAATTAATAGTATATTTCTTAATTTACAATACTTAAGTCTATTCATTGTCCGTTTTTATTACAAAATTGTTTCGAGTAATATCTTAATATGGATCTGTGATTTTTTTTATGCTATGCCAACAAATTGGTGATAGAAACCGAACAGTTTCTGCTACATAACCTGACGACAGATGCCATTGGCAGCAGAAATCGAGCAAGATCTGTCATTTTCATATACAATCTCGCCACGAGATAGACTTGCTTCTCGTAAGAAGAAAACATCCAAGAGTCTTATAAGAATTGGCGTATGTAAATCAAATAGGCAAATTTCTTAGAAATTCCGAAGTTTTTTCGGAGTGTGCTTTCTGAATCTCCGAATATCTTTTTGACAATTTTATTACTTTCTCATGTGTACGAGGGTCATTTGAAAAGTTGTGAGCCTCAACATGAAAATGACGTTACTCGTTAAAACCATTCTGGTACTACAATTGTACATGTTTTGCAAAATATCTGTGAAAATTGTAATCATTTTGGACGCTCAGTTGTTGTTGGACAGTAATTTGTGTCAGTCGACGTCAGTGTTTTCGTAAAAACTTGATTTTTTTCTAAAACAAATATTGTAATATGAAAAGTACCCTTTTAATTATTTTTAATGTTTTCACATTATTATTATTATTTCTATCACATTAAAAAGTAATTTTGCAAAAGGAAGAGGGATGTATGAACATGTATAGACATATTTCATACATGATTATATATATGTTTCTGAATATTTATGTATGTTTATACATATTTATACATACCCATGCATAAAAAATTTTTTACTGGGTAAGATCGAGTAAAATAAATACATGTGCTCGCGCGTGCGCATTCAGACACAAAGTTGTAATTTTATCTCTATGAAAAAAATAGCTGTGTTAACTAAGCACAAATATAAATTTAGACAATAAAAAGAAAAACAAATGTATTAAATAACAATAAAATAAATGCAGACAAAGAGCAAAATTGTCCCTAAAAAAAAAATATACATATGTATGTATAATGCGCTACATTTTTATACAGCTTATAAACAATTTATTTACCTATTTATATGAATTTCTCTATCGTGCTTCATTTTTTAAGTATAAGAAAAAAAATGTAAGTTTTTACATGAAATATGTGACACTAAAAAGGTGAAACAAGAGAAAGGGAAAAGGAATCATATATTTATTATTATTAATTTTTAATCTTAATTTTTTTCCACATTTCTATATGTGTTCTTCGACAAACGTCTCACTCGCGGTCAATGTGTAATATACATATATCTATGCAGGCGACATCGCTGGCAACCGTGGACACGGTCGCCTCGGCAACTGCCATCAGTTCCGTAAACAAAGGCACACATTGTCGTGTTGAGGGTTGCGTGAAAAAAATTTCCTCGACCGAGGGTCGCACGTTTGATGTACGAAGATGTGAATGCACCGCGACGGCTCGCACTTGTCTCCGTGTCCACCCGAAAGACTCTCTCACGTGCGAAGACTCTCCCTCGTTCCGGAACCACGTCTTCAGCGACCTGAGAGTTCCGTCGACGGCACTGCTGCTTCGACAATGTCGGGGAAAAAGGCTACGGAGAAGGTCTCCGAGATTGATGCACATATCAACAAACAATACGACATTGTGCGACGTCTCGGCAAAGGGGTAATAACGTTATCCTCCCCGTTTATTCTGACATGTAGGATAATTTTGCGCATGTCGTGAAAACGAATTTATTTCGAATGTATACCTTTATCCTCCATGCAAAATAAAAATACGTAGATTTACAGCATGTAAAATATGCTCGTCTAAATTAATTGTAATTTTGTCAAAAGTCATAC